TATCATAATAGATGTTGATGGCATTTTTGGTCTTGCTGGTGATTTATGATTGATTATACAAAACCTTTAAACCACACCAGTCCTTTTGACCAAAGACACCAAAGTTTTCCTCATTCTTTGTCTCCACAGTTTGTCTGACAAGTGTCAAGCTAAGATTTTATAATGTCTGTATGATGAGAGCTGTTGAATTTATTTCACCCAAACATTGCTGGGTTGTTTTTAAACAAAGAAATAACATGTAAAAAAATGTCTTGCTATCAAGTGGTGGTGGTGCACGCCTTTATTCCCAGCACTCGGGAGGCAGAGGCAGGCGGATCTCTGTGAGTCTGAAGCTAGCCTGGTCTAGAAGAGATAGTTCCAGGACAGCCAGGACTATTGCAGAGAAACCCTATCTTGAAAAAAAGAAAAAGAAAAATGTTTTTCTGGAGCGAGAAAATGTTACCTAACATCACTGCAGTTAACACCCATGTAAGCTAAGACTGAAGACACGTGTGCTTTCTGCACAGGCCAGTGCTGCAGAGTATCGGGTCATTTGGATTTTGAATTAGATGAGCACTGTGGAGTGGGCTAGGGAAGGTGCTGCTTCGCCCTTCTCAAGCACAGACTCTTCCACAGGGCTTTAAAGGTGACAGTGACACACGGGGGAAAATAACCGTACATGGTTTTCGCCTTGCAATAAAATAATTAGCATTCTCAGAGAGTTGGGCAGTGTCACTTAGGGACTGTTGAGGCATTCTGCTGTGTTCAGTGACTTACTCACAAATATTCTGTTAGTGTTGTGAGGGGGATACTCCTTCCATTTAGGCTCTGTGGAGTGAGTTTGTTGGCCACCGCTGTCCTGCAGTGCTTGGTGTCTGGTGAAGAGTGTGAAAAATCAAGATCCATAATTCTATCCCATTCTCCTTTACCCTTCAGGAAGTGTGCTAAGGGTGTCCCTAACACATCAGGGGACCTGAGCTTTTCTGATAGTTCCACTGAGTAAAGAAGAATTTGAAAAGAACATCCATCTTTAAAATTGTTTTCTGTTCCCAAGGTGGTCATAAACCACTGTGAGAATTTGGAATTTTTCATTTTTCTTCCCCTGTTTTGAAAATTATTGCTATTACCATTCTGACATGGACATGTAAGAGAGAATGTAGAAATGGACCTAGTGGAAGTATTCAGTCAGTACTCGATGGCTTTTACTGAGTTGTTAGCAAAGCCTTCATCATTCCCCATCAAAGTCTAAGACGTTTCACTTAATGCTTCTTTCTGTATTCATTTTTTTTTATTGTGTAAGGAAATTCAACAAAATAGAACCAAGCCAGTAGAATACTACAGCAGTCAGTTACAGGAGTGAAGTATGTAGTGATATTTTGTTTGTGTTTTAACAAATAGAGTTTTCCCAAAGATAAAAGTGCAAAGCTAAGCCACTAAAGGCCAGACAGTGGTGGCAAACACTTTTAATCGGAGGACTTGGGGGACAGACTGATCTCTGCTAGTTCAAGGCCATCCTGGGCCGCACAAGATTAAATCTGCCTAAAAGAGAAACAGAACTCACACAAAGGTGATCCTAGCACTTGCGATCATACCCCTTTAATCTCAGCACTAGGGAGGTGGAGACAGGAGTAATATGGCTGGGTGGAGAGAGGAATATAAGGCAGGAGGATTCGGGAACTCAGAACTCAGTGCATTCTGAGGAGCGGTACAGTCTAGGCAGTCAGTTTGAGGATGCAGGCTGAGGAGGCCATCTGTGGGCAGAAGCTCCCTTTCAGTCTGAGCATTGGTAGAGGTGAGAACTCTAGTGACCGCTCTGCTTCTCTGTTCTCTCGGCTTTCACTCCCTTATAGCTGACTCTGAGTTTTTATTATTAAGACCAACTAGAATTCATGCTACAAAAGTATCTACATAGACATTCTTTAAAGAAGACTTATAAAATGACTTATCATTCCATAAAGAGATGCTCAACACCATTGATCATTAAACCACCGAACAGTGAAAGGGATGGGGGCAGCAGTGCATTCCTGCACTTAAGAGACAGAAGCATGAGTTTCACAAGTTCAAGGCCAACCTGGGCTAGTCTGTTCAGGGCCAACCTGAATAATATGATAAGACCCAGTCGCAAAAACAAGATGGTGGTAACCTTGTACCCACTTATATTAGTCAGGGTTTTGCTACAGAGATGAACAGAACCTGATGAATGAATAGATAACACACTCTCTCTCCCCCACACATGAAATTTATTAGAATGACATATAGGCTGTTATCTAGCTAGTCCAACAGTGGCTGCCTTTTAATGGACAGCCCAAGAATCCAGTAGTTGTTCAGTCCTTGAGGCCAGATTTCTCCGCTGGTCTTCAGTAGAAGCCAGAATCCTTAAGAAGTAGACTCTAATGTCAGTGAAGGAATGGGCTTGTTATCAAGAGCAAGAAAGCAAAAGGAAAGCTTCATTATTTCATGCCCTTGTACGCCTGGCAGCAGAAGGTATGGCCCATATTAAAGGTTTGTCTTCCCACAAAGGCCCAGATTAGAAGTCAGGTTTTTTTTTTTTTTCATTTCAGATGATTTAATTAAGAAAAGATCCTTCTCAGGTGTGCCCAGTCATTTGGGTTTTAGTTAATTCCAGTTGTTCTCTCAAGTTGACAACCAAGAATGGCCATCACACCGCTATAGTAGCTATGGCTAAATTTGAAAAGCTATATAGTAGCAAGGATTGGTGCGGGTGTACTGGAGCCAGAGCCCTCATGCACCGCTTGTAGGTCTATGATGTGGTGCATCTACTTTGGAAAACATTCTGGTGGTTCCTTAAAGATCTAAACAAATGTGTAGTCGACCAGCAGTTACCCTCTCAGATACACACAAATGTGGGTTCATGAACGCATTGGCCCACAGCATCATTCAGATGTTTGAAAGGTAGATCTAGGGCTGGGGGTGACAGCTACCGGGGTAAACTGCTTGCTACACAACCCTAAGAACCTGAGTTTGGATCCCCAGCATTCACGTCAAAGCCAGGCGTGATGACATCTACACGTGCCCTTGATGCTTGGGGGTGGAATCAGGTGGATCCTAAGGGATCATTGGTCATTGAGTCAAGATCAAGAAAATAAAGACGGGGAGAGCTTGAGGAAGACACCCAAAGCCAACCTCTGACCTTCACATGGGCCCGTTATGTGTGTGCGCACCCACATACACAAAGGCAGAAGGCAGTGCCCATCAGCTGCTGTGCAGATAAACTGTAGTTCAGCTATCCACAAAGATAGTATGTGGCCATTAGAAGGAGTGAAATTCTGACACATGTCACAATAGTCAGGAGCCCTGAGAACATGCTGTGTAGTGTTCCATACACAGCACAGCATGCACGGTCTGCCGCTGTGTATATGATTTGTGCAGAACTGACACTTATAGAAATAGAAAGTAGATTAGTGATTACTCAGAACCAGGAAGGATGTGAAACTGAGGGGTGTTATCTCAAGGGTACACATTTCTTTGGGGGAATTAAGAAAATATTTACAATCATTCCTGGTGATGCGGGTCCAACTGCATGCATGTCCTGGGAGCTGTCTCCTAGTGACGCTGTCTTACCTGAATTACTTTGCAAAAGTCCCGCTTCCATGTACTAGTGACACATGACACAGATATCCATGTGAACGCACAGTAGTTATTGGGTTATCGATTGAAGCCGGCAGGGTTTATTGCAGTTTTATTTTTTAATGAAAATAAAAATCCGAAATTGCTGAATATTTTTACTAGTTATGATAATTTCCCTTTCAGTCTTCTTGGAGGGCAGGAAGACGGGGGTGGGGGAGGGAAGGGTCAATTAAAGCCAAGCACATATGAAAATGTTATGTATAAGGAAGCCTATGTATGCCAATTAAAAACTGAATCAAAGTTTTGTCTAAGAAGTCATACATATTAAAGACTTTTAATAATAAAAAGTTCAAAAATAAATTTTAAAATAGATTGAGTTCCAGTGATCTAATTTCTGAGTACGAAATTTCACTCAACCAAGCTCTGCCTTTCTCTGCAGTTACTAAAGTTAGTACTCACGCATGCACTGGGCAGGATGAAAGAGATGCATGATACTGGTGCTTACAGAGTTTCATTGACAACCTAGTGCATTAATTAAGACTTGAAAGATCCCCTTCAAAGAATATGATAAGGACAGGATGGGGGGAAACGTGGAGCAGAAGATAACTTCTCTCCTTGTGCCAGACTGTTATCTCTAGAGTTCCCTTCAAACTAATCCTGTAGCCATTGACAGTTAAAGAAACACAGGGACGAGATCCAAACTGACAAAAGTTTGATAGAATTAGTTTGGAAAAGCAAACTTTGTTCCACTACTGTCTTTATTAATTGGTGTCTGTGTAGTGTGTAAAGAATTATATTTATTATTTAGTGAGCATGTCTCCTGTTGAGTACCGTTTTCGAAAGTGCTATTATTTGGAAGTTCAGTGTCTGATGAAGTTATAGTCAGAGAAATTGGCTTATCCGTCTCAATCTAGTTGTGAGTTTGTGAAATACAATGCTCAGCATGGGCACACTGTGGTTTATGTGTGAAACACTGGTTGTCTCCGGTTGTGTGGAGCCGCAAGGCAGTCAGACTTTCTCTGCTACTCTCCTCCATTCTCCTGACTCAAGTCAGAACTTCACAGGAAATAATCCGGTGCAGCAGGACAGTCATCATCTCCCAGCTGACAACTACAGTCCATAGAGCCCGTCCCAGTCTCTTCTCCGCACTCCCAGCTGCCTTTCAGTCAGTGTTTCTTTTCCTTGTTAGCATGTCCCATCTCATTCATGCCCAGGTCCGGGCTGTACACTGTGGCCGCAGCAGTGACAGGATCATCGTTGCCTACTCTTGTGGAAGTCTTCTTTGGATGTCCTCTTTCCTTAATGCAAGATTATTATTACACTCAAAATAATGGCGTGAATCACGTGCTTGTCTTTGCATACACAAAGCCGGAATTCTGAAGCAAAAGCCAAACCCATTCCTAGGGTCTGTAACCTTTTGATTGTGCCCACAGACCCCTCTGGATATCAGAATCACTACCCAGATGGCAGAGCAGGGGCCTATGAAGAAACTCACAGGAACTATGACGCCTACACGGCAGGACTGAGTGAGGAGGAGCAGCTGGAAAGAGCTTTGCGTGCCAGCCTCTGGGACCGAGGTAAGAGCCCTGCACCCTTCAGTTAATTTAAAACCCTCCTCGTGGCCAGGCGGTCTGAGAAGGGACTATTTGGAGCAAATTAAGTCTTGAGCAGTTTATAAAAAGGGCATCTAGGTGAAAAGCCTGTGCAGATTGTGATCTCAAAGAATAGGATGTGATGCCACTGTCCCACAGCCTCAGCTCCCAAGGTGCCAGACTGGAAGCATTGTTAAGTGTTCTTTTTATAGGCCTGCTGTGCTCTGTGCTTTAACATTAAAGTCAAGAAACTTGAACCACACGTCTTAAGTACATGAGAAATGTTAGCTTTGGAATTCACGATGCGAAGTGGCGCTCCGTCCCCAGACACCAAAGTCTTGGCCGCGAACCTCCCCACGGATTGTCCATGAAACCAAATAGACTCAGGCCGGAGTCCTACTTAGTCTGTCTCTCCCAGGGGCGGAGCCTGGGATTTTGTAGTTTTAACACATTTTCCAGAGGATTCCTTTACAGGCTGATAGCTAAGAATCAATATACCTATTTTGCTATCTTTGCTTTGGGTTTGGCTCACAAAGTTGGGTATAGGTATCTTCATTATTGCCCTAGTGTAAGTTACTAGGAAGCAGCCTTTTATACAGCATTGATACAGGCTCTATTATACTTCACATGGGGTACGGTGCAGGTACAGAGTGAACATAGAGGTAGAAGATGGGTCCCGCTCTGGAGAACGTCACTGCCTCAGGTTGTGTATGTACTTAGTTGACACCACCTCCTGCATGAGTAATTAAAACATCAAGACTCTGCCTGGAAAAGCTTCCCAATGCATTATGAAGTGTATTTATGCTACATACTGCACTGTACAAGTAACCATAATTCCAAGTCCCCAGGAGAGAGCGGCTCAGTGGGTGATAGGGGTGAGAAGATGGGGGAGTGTCCTTAGATCTTCACAGAGGCAGAGCTGGTAGGGTGTCAGGAATTTGTGAAATGTGCAGAGATGTCAAAGACATTTTTGACCGATGCTCTGAGTGTGGTCGCAAACAGAGAACTAAGGGATATGTTTGCGCCAGCACTTGCTTTTGAAATGAGCGCTGAGGAACTGGGCCAGGGCTGAAGTCCTGTAGTCGATCAGCCTCTGTGGAATGGTGCTGCAGTGGTCAGTCTCAGTCGTCAACCTGAGTAGGTGTTAAATCTCCATGGCTTGTCTATGAAGATGTTCCCAGGGAAGTTTAAACATCCCGTGGACTGGGCTCTTGGGCTGAATAAACAGAGAGAGCAGGTTGGACACCAGAATCCATGTATTTCTGTGTCCTGACCTTGGACACGGTGGGACCAGCCACCTCACTTTCCTGCTATGCTTTCTCTGCCTGGGGTTGTGTACGTTGGGATAAGCACATCCTCCCTAAAGTTGTCAGGATTTGGTCACAGCACTGAGAACCATCACTGTGCTAGCGCTGGAAGGATCTCAGATGGGGCTCTGACGTGAGCTGTGTTTGGTGAATCTGGCAGTGACTTTCCGCAAACAAGAGCTGAGCAATGATCAGATGCTGCTGAGTTATGAGACCATGCCAAGTGCAGCCCTTGAATTTAAGGAAGGTAGTGTAGGATGTGTTGCTTTCATTGGTTGAATAAAAAGACTGCCTTGGCCTTTTGATCAGGCAGAAACTTAGGTAGGCGGGAAAGACAGAACTGTATGCTGGGAAAAAAAGCAGAGACAGGCAGATGCCATGAATCTCCAGCCTGTAAGCCACAGTCATGTGGTGATACACAGATTTAATAAAAATGGGTTAATCGAGATGTGAGAGTTAGCCAATAAGAGGCTAGAGCTAATGGTCCAGGCAGTGTTAAAATAAATACGGTTTCTGTGTTATTATTTCGGGTGTAAGCTAGCCGGGCGTGATGTGGCCCTCTTCCCCTCATACAACAGGAGGGCAGTCTTAGCAACAGCATTGTGCGCAGAGATAGTGTGGTGTGATGGACTGAAGAAATAAGGTCCCAGATTGTGAGAGGAGCAGGAGGCTGGAGAAACTGGTACTTCCGGGGTGAACGGTATCAGAGCTATGGTGTTATTGGTACTCTATCACTGTATGGCAGGTCACTCTGAAACTGGGGGCTGGCGATAGTAGACATTCTTGCTTTAAGAATGTATGGGTCTGCAGGGCCAGAATGCCTTGCTATTGGCTGGCAAACTGCAGTGGTCAGGTTGAAGCATTCCTCAATGGCCTCATGAACCTACCTGCTAGTTGTCATCCAGCAGATTTGTCCAGGCTCATTGCAGGGTTTCCAGAGGCAGTGTGTTAGAACAAGCAAGATGGCTGACACGCTAGTGGTCACATGGCCTTTTGTTACCAAAGCACGGCACAAGGGTAGGTCTACTCAGCAGAAAGGGGACATGGCACTATCTCTCAGACTAAGGAGAACCCAGCCGTTTAGAGATCACTGATCTAGTGTCACAGTCTCAGGGAGCACGACTTGGGCAATGCTGAAACCTGGAAAAGGGCCCCAGGACCAGTGCTGCTATGAATCCTCGTGGATTCCCCTATGTATGTGGCTAGTCATGATGCATTGCGGACAGGCAAGGCAGGGCCGGGTTCATAGGCACAGAGTGAATAGCTAATCTCCATCACCTTCCGCACTGACTTCAGATGAATCCCAGGAGCCACAGAATGAGTGCCTGATAGAATAGGTCAACAGTCATGTTTCTGAGGGGACAACACTGGATTATTAGCACCTCTTTTCAGAAAATGTGCCTGCCAGTAGCAAGCTTCAAAAATGATAAGAAGTCAGAGGAGAATTCAGACAGACTGGGTCAAATATGAACATAGGATTTAGAAGTTTCCCATATCAAATGGGGAGAGAGAAGGGATCCATCCCACGTGGATAGGCACGCTTTAGTGAAGTTTCGCATTTTAGATTTGTCAGACTCTCCTGCCCCCTCCCCCCCACCGAGTTTTAACCGGTGTCAGTAGCAAAGGTGCTGTCCTAGTTTCCCACCACAGTCAGAGTGCCTAAGGGAGAAATGCCTTAACTGAAGCTCATGATTTCAGATATGTTAGTCCAGGTTGGCTGGATCCATTGTTTGGAGGCTGAGGTGATACAGAACATCAATGGTAGGAGCTCCTTTCAGGCCACTCGTCCCTTGGCTGCTGGGGAAGCCCAGAGCAGCAGACAAGAAGAGGCCCGGAAACAATGGGACGGACCATCAGAAACAGGCTCCTGGTGACCCGTTTCACCTCACAAGTCGCCACCTCCCAGTAGCTCATTCAGTTCTGAACTCATCCACTGAGGACAGTGCTTTCACCGCCTAAGCCTTTGGGGAGGATGGCTGACATCAGATCCAAGCCATAGCAGGTGTTTCTCAGGAAGAGAGAGTGGCTTCCTCCAGCAGTTGCCTTCTGTGTTCTTCAGAGACAAGTGTGTAGGGGCTGTATATCAGGAAGCATCCTCCCTCTGATATGCCTGGTCATTTCCGAGTAGCTTGGGAGGCTTGAATATAATAACTACAGAGAAAAGGTCCTGCATTTTGTGGATCAGAAGAGGAAGTCAGAGTCAGCCTTAGAGAATATTGCATTTGTAACCTTGATTAATTATGAAGCTAATATAAACATAACTAGTATTTAACAGAAAATAAACAAAAACATTTAAGTATTTAATGATGGACAGAAAATCAGATACATGCGACCATCAGAGGTTCCATACATTTAATCCTGTATTTTTAAAAGAGTTTATTGATTTTGTCTGTTTGGGCCATTTGCCTGCATGTATGTCTGTGTGCCACATGCTTGCAGTGCCCCGTGTGTACAGAAGAAGGTGTCAGAGTCCCTGAAACTGGCATTATAGTAGAGGCTTGATGGTCACCATATGGATGCTGGAATAAAACCAGCGTCCTCTGCAAGAGTAACCAGCTGATCACCGCTGAGTCATGTCCCTTTTGGGACAGGGTCTCATGTAGCCCAGGCTGGCCTGGAACTCCTGATCCCTCTCCATCAAAGGCATACACCACTATGCCTGAACAGGCTTAATCCAGTTGTCTAAAAAACAGTTGTGAAAACAACCGTGGAAAGGAGCACTATGCTGGATGGAGAGCAAGAGAAATAGCTTAAAATTTTCTTCTATACCTCTTTTAAATATTTTTTTTTCAAAGTTTCGTAATGGCATTTTATTATTTTATTGTTTTTATTGAGGTATATATTTTCTCTGCCTCCCCTCCATTCCTCCTCCCCCAACCCTTCTGCCTTCTCCCATGGTTCCCATGTTCCCAATTTACTCAGGAGATTTTGTCTTTTTCTTATTTTCATGTAAATTAGATCCATGTATGTCACTCTTAGGGTGCTCATGGTTGTCTAGGTTCTCTAGATTGTGAATTGTAGTCTGGATTTTCTTTGCCTTATGTCTAAAAGCCACTTATGAGTGAGTACATATTATATTTGTCTTTCTGAGTCTGGGTTACCTCATTCAATATGATGTTTTCTAGATCCAACCATTTGCCTGCAAATTTCAAGATACCATTATTTTTTTTTCTGCTGTGTAGTACTCCATTGTGTAAATGTACCACATCTTTACCCATTCTTCAGTCGCAGTGTATTTAGGTTGTTTTTAGGTCCTGGCTATGACAAATAATGCTGTTATGAACATAGTTGAGCACATGTCCTTGTGGTGTGATTGAGCATCCTTTGAGTTTATACTCAAAAGTGGTACTGCTGGGTCTTGAGGTAGATTGTTTTCTAATTTTCTGAGAAATTGCCACACTGACATCCAAAGGGGCTGTACCAGTTTGCACATCCACCAGCTATGGAGGAGTGTTCCCTTTACCCCACACCTTCTCCAGCATAATTTATCATAAATGTTTTTGATCTTGGCTATTCTTACAGATGTAAGATAGAATCTCAGAGTTGTTTTGATTTGCATTTCTCTGATGGCTAAGGATGTTGTCTTTCAGCTGTTTTAAATTCATCTGTTGAGAGTTCTCTGTTTAGGTCTCTGCCCCATTTATTTATTTATTTATATTATTTTGATTTTTTAATGAT